GGCCGCGGACCGCGCCGGCGACGGCGGCGACGGTGGCGGCGGCCTCGCCCCCCATGAGCTAGCACTGTGCAAGGGGCCGACTTTTTGCTGCGGCCCGCGTAGCCTCTACGGGCGCGGGCGCTCTCGTTTTTAGCCCCCACCCCCCCTGCCTCTAATCTCCCTCAAGACGAAGTGTTTGACTGGCCAAGTCCACACGATTTCATTCGGAAGCTGCAGGGCTCACATGGGCCGATTGGCATCACTCATGCCCTTTGAAGGTGGTTTCGAACCTGGATTTGTCCACAGCAGCGATAGGGTGCATGTCCTGAGCAGGGCGTGCAGGGCCGCGCGCCGGACGCGCCTCGCGCGCGCGCGCGAATGTGTGCATGCGCTCTTGGGCGCCGCAGCCTTGGCCTGGCCGTGCGGCCTCGGAGTCGACAGCTGCTCGCCGGCGCGGCCACGGGTTGGCTGCCCCCAGCGCGTAGGTGCGCACGCATGCCGGATGGCTGGCAGGCGCTTGGGGCCGGCCCCTGCAACCGGGCCCTTGGCCCCCTGTTCTTGAAGGACGCACGCGTGCACGCTCAGCGCATTCCACAACACGAGTTGCGTCGACCCGCTGGGCTCCTGTGAGCCCCCGCCCGTGTGCTGTGCGCGCCGATCGCCAGGGAACCGCCGCGCGTGCCTGCGCGCGCGTGCGCGCTCTCTATAGATAGGCAGTTCGGCGGCGTCTCTGTGGCGGGCGTAGAGCAAAGCTGTTGATTGGCTAGCCAGCGAGCGTATGCTCGCATGTGTGCGTGCATGCGGGCGCGCCGCTGCGGCGTGCTCGGTCTTGCCGCATGCGGCACCTACATGGCGTTGGTTGCGCACCCGGTCGTGGGGCCGGCCGCGGCTCGCGGGCGCGGCGCCTGCACGGGGCGTTACCCGCTGCGGCGCCGGCACGCTGCCGCCCGGCTCGTGTGAGGCCGGGCGGTGCACGCCGTGCTCGATAACTGGAACCCTGCGCGTCCTTGTATGATGGCCGGACCTTGCCCCTGCACTTGACACACGACTGTGCGTGTTTCTCGGCCTCTTATTCCCCGACTTTCCGCCTGCCCCGACGGCATCGTGGCGCCCTGAGGCGTCCGAACTCATCCCCGCTGCAGCCAAACCCCCCGCGCAGGCGGGGCGCCGCCCACCCCGCGGCCTTTTGCACGGCGCCAAATTCGCAACTGTCCCCCGCCCGCACCGGGCTCCCTCTCCCC